CTTTTTTGAGGTGGACAATGATTTGAGAGACGCTTGATGACCCTGCAAGTACTGGACAGGAGAGCTAGTGGGTTTTGAAAATACAATTAAGAGTTGATTAAGTAGTGCTTAATTAGGATAAGTGGGTGCAGAGGAAGTAAGGTTGGACTTGATGGGATTGCTACAAGGTTGAATCAGGGGTCTTGTTGTAGAAAAAGAGCTGCCGGAGCTCATTAGCATAACTCATTAGCATAACTTATTTGCATATGCCACGCCCCCTGACATCACCGGAAGTGACAGAAGGCCACACCCCCTGACATCACCGGAAGTGTGTCAGAAGGCCCGGCTACTTACCCTCCTGCTTCATCCTCATTCCCAAACGGAATGAGGATCGAAGCAGAGGGCGGGGTAAAGAAGGGGGCGGGGCTTCACCACGTGACCGCCCCGCCCCCTAGAGGTTCTCTTCCGGAGCTCCGTACCTGAGAGCTCCCCCCCGACTAGAGCCCTGGGTTGAATCAATAGGTTTTGGGAGACCCATGTCCTGTACTTGTGATTTTTGAGATGATATTTTTAAGAAGGTTGTTTTTGCCTCTCTAAGCTATAAACTGCCCCTCTGCGAGAGGAGGAGTCTGACTTCTAACACAGTCAGTAGGTGACGTGAAAGACCTTAGCCTGAGACCTTGGAGAGCTGCTGCCAGTCTGAGTAGACAATACTGATATTACTGGACCAATGGTCTGATTCAGCATAAGGCAGCTTCATGTGTTCATGTGCTTTTGAAGGATTGTTAGATACTAAGGGTATAATTAGTTGTTGTAGATTTTCAGGGCTGTATGGCCGTGGTCTCGGCATTGTAGGACCTGACGTTTCACCAGCAGCTGTGACTGGCATCCTCAGAGGTATAACACAGAACGATGGATTACTCCTTGACACAGAACACAGAAACACAGAACACAGGTATAACACAGAAAGATGGAGTACTCCTTTCTGTATTATACCTCTGAGGATGCCAGTCACAGCTGCTGGTGAAACGTCAGGTCCTACTCGCAAAGAGCGTGGCAATCACACCCAGAAAATCTACAACAACTAATGAACTCTGGCCATGAAAGCCTTTGACAACAAACTAAGGGCATAGTTTTTCAATTCTTTTTTGCTGTTCAAAGATGCCCTTGGATACTATGACAGATTCACTCATTGGAGCAAAGCCTTCCAAGGTGCCACCCTGCAAATGGGTAAGATTGGCAATTGCCCATTCACATGTATTCACTGTTGTGGCTCCTACCTTGTAGAATAACCTGCTTGAGGAGGTTAGGGAGACTCCCATCTTCTAGCTGTCTGCAGAAGGTGCAAACCAGAGACATTCAGAAATTTGTCTTGAGTCTCAATGAGAAATAGGGTTGCCAACCTGTACATGGGGCCTGGAGATATCCCAAAATTACAATTGGTCTCTAGACTACAGAGATCAGTTCTCCTGGACAAAATGGCTGAACAGGTGAGACTGGTGACAACCAGAGATAAGACTTTTTCAGTGGTGACACCTTGCCTAGGGAATGCCTCCCCCACCCCCCGGCTCATCTGATGCCTACTTTACTGTCTTTTATGTACCAGGCCAAAATGCTTTTCTTTACTCAGGCTTTTAACTAAGACGTTCTATCTTTTAAAAATGTTTTTTTGAACTGCTTCTAGCCTGAGGATTGTTTCATGCATATCTTTTTGTTTCAGACTGTTTTATGTACTTTTATACTCTGGCTTATTTTTATGACTGTTTATGATATGTAATTTTTATATTTTAATTATTTTATTGTATTTTATTTTATGAACTGCTGTGAGCAGGTCTCTGGAGAAGCAGTGTATCCTTTTTTAAGAGTATAGAATGGTCAGCATTTGTTCTCTTTGTTGTGTATTTCTTTTCAGTCAGTTTATAGAGAACCCATCTTTGCAAAGTTAGTCCCTTCAGTGTCCTAACCAATTAAAGAATGCAAATAGAACTCATAAATCAGGACAAAGTATAGCCTTCGGTAATAATTTCTTTATGATAGATAACTGAGTTAAGAGAGAATATCAAATGGTAAAGAAATGTAAAAGAATATTGGTTTAAAAATAGGACTAATTAAGTCTAGGAAATACCAAAGAGATCCTATATCATTTGTGAGAATTAAGGAATAATCTTGAAAAATCCAACTGAGATTTAGAATACAGTTATAGTTATCTTGCAATGTTTGACTAGAAAAGTGACTAAACTTAAGAGATGTTGGACTATTGAATAAGGTCCATTGTGAAGTTACAGCATTACTCTTAATAGTTTTAGGATTTCAACTGAGGTAGTTGTCCGGCTATGCAGTTAATGAGTTGTAAAATGCCTTATGATGTTACCTTAGGCAACGTGTTCATCGGTGAGAAGAACATTTACTTTGAGATCTTTCCGACTCATGCAAAACATAAGTTTGACAGATGCCTTCTCCAAGAAGGGTCTTACAATTTTTAATGATTACATGGAAGTAAAATTCCACCAGAAGTAACTTATGTCACCTTAAGACTATGATGGAAAAGTTGTACCTTGTAAATTTTATTCTGTGCTGTTGTTAAAGATATAAGCAGCCCTAGACACTACCAATTAGAAATATTGCTAAACGTTACCATAGAATGGCTTGTATGCAAAGACATCTGCTCATAGAGCGGATCTCACAGAACAAAAGTTTTCTACATTTTGTTCCTGATGCAGTACACTGAGCGCCCGCCTCCTCATTTTGTTCCTTATGGACTGTGGACCCTCAGGAACAGCATAGAGAGCAGAACAGGGGTCTGTAAAAGTAGAAAAGAATCAACTGATACCTTTATGTTCGTTTCTGAAAATGGAAGTGCCCTTAAGTCTTCAGAACTGCATGACTGGATACAAATGAACCGGCCTGTAGCCAGAAATGGGGGGGGGGGGCACAGTTCAGAGCTAAATTAATCATGGTCACTAATTTAATTACTGAAGATAATTTAATTACTGGGTAGGGAGGCCCATTCAGCCCCATCTGGCTTTGCTCATCTTACCTACAGCTGAAGCCTTACCTACACCAGGCCTTCCCTTCCCTTAGCTTGCCAAGTGCCTGCCCACCCCATGGCCCCCACCTCTCCAGCCAACCCATGTGGGGAAAGGATGCTTCTTCTCAGGCCAGGAAGGGAAGGTGGCCAGAGTGGCTTGTGGTGCAGTAGGCACAGAGTCCCCTGCATTGCAAGAGGGCAAGAGGAAGGGAAGGTGGCCAGAGTAGCTTGTGGTGCAGTAGGCACAGAGTCCCCTGCATTGCAAGAGGGCAAGAGGAGGGTTTGCCACTAGACCCCAATGACAGCTTTGCAAAACCAGAGGAGGGTTTGCCACTTGCCCCAGGCCTCCTTCCCCTCCTGGGTCTGGCAGGGGAGGCAGCCAGGAGGAGGCAGGACATGTTTTTGAGGCAGCGTCACCTCAAATGTCACCTTGTGGCTATGGGCCTACAAATGAAGATCTCCTCCTCCCTCTGTAGTAAAATGGCTAAGGTATCCCCAGTTTGTTCCTGGGGACACTTGTATCATCTAAGCGATATCCTGAGAATTCTGCAATTCCTCCAGTCAATAGGAAGTACACATTTCCATTCTTCTTAAGCTTCACTTAAAACATGGTTCATTATAATCTCTTTGAGAATTTAATACCTAATATTTACATTGTAATGTTGTAATGTTTACTCCTCACTACTTCTGTCTTTCCTACATTGGGTTGGATCTATTCTTCCATTGATTGAAGAGTGGCAGTAATTTTCACTGATTTTTCCCCTTCCACTGCAGACCCATGCTTTGCCACCCAGTGTTCCTGAGGGCCTTGACCCCCAGGAACAGAAATTTCAGAGGGTGACCTCAGTGGGTTGCCAGCTGTATTTGTCTCTCCCTAAACATATTTAATCTTCAGCATCACTGAACCTGTAATAATTACAAAAAAAACCTTTTGTCACATATGAAAATCAATGTCAGAGTATTTATGTTTTTGGAACCATATGTATGAAGATGAAACTCTGTGGAGTACATATAGAATGCTTTGTGTGACCTGCTATGCAGTGCATCCTAATACTCATTATTTTGGGAGATATTTAATATAGTTGGTGTGGAAAACACAACTCAACAGTGTACGTGTAACCAACATCTGTTACCAACAACAACAAGAGTAGTATAAAACTTCAGTAAATCAGATAAATGGACTAATATGCAAACTAGCCACTGCATGGAACGTAATACATATTTTATTAATTCAAACCTGCATGAAATGGAAATGCTAAATGAATGAAAATTATTTAATAATATAGGTAGGTTCAACTTACCTAATTTTTTCCGATCATTACCGTGGGTAAAGAGGAGAAAAATAGAAAGATGAAATCAAAGTTCCTTTCAGTGGACCTTATGCTAAGAAAAAAATACAATATTGTTCTCCAGGAACTAGAATGGATAATGTGTCCTTGAAGCTAATGTTAGTAACACAGCTTGCAGCCATGACACGCAGCTGTGAAGAGAGGTGATTCTTATAGAGAAGTAAAGCCAAGAGTAGTAGTTCTAAAGACAACAAAGGCTAGAAAAATAAGTAATATAAAATCATTACTTTAACTCA